GCCCCCCCCCCCCCCAGGTGATGGAAATGAGGAGAGGGGTAGGTGTTGTGTAGTGCTGTCCTAAGGTGACAACGCTGCACCTCCGTAGCTATGCGTGTAAGCCCTAAAGGTGCCCACACACCTTACGATAATGGCGGGAAATCCGGCGATCATACGATTATCGTAAGGTGTGTGTGTGGAAGCCGTGCGACCTCTGCTACTGTAAGGTCGCACGACTTTAAACTTAGTAAGGCTGGGCACACACCTTACAACCATCGCAAGACTTTTGTCTTGCGATGGTTGTAAGGTACTTTAAAAAAACGTACGATCTGCCCATCTTGCATAGGCAGATCGTACTTGCGATGATCGCAAGCCACGCCCCCCCTGGCGGGCTTCCGATGACCGCAATGCTGAGCGGGCAGTGTGCGCTTGCCCACACCGGCCCGTCCGCCTTTTATCTTACGAACATGCTACACACCCGCCGAACATCGTACGATGCTCGGCGGGTTTTTAAACATGTTCGTAAGTTTAAAATCGTGCGACCTTACAGTAGCAGAGGTCGCACGGCTTCCACACACCTTACGATAATCGTAAGGTGCGTGGGGACCTTAACATGTTCGAAAGAACGTGTGGCACGTTCGTAAGATAAAAGCCGGACGGGCCGGTGTGTGCGCAAGCGCACACTGCCAGCTCGGCGTTGCGGTCATCAGAAGCCCGCCCCCCAGGGGGGCGCGGCTTGCGATCATCGCAAGTACGATCTGCCTGTCCAAGATAGGCAGATCGTACGTTTTTGTTAAAGGAGAACTATGGGGTTAAGGCTTACCCCCATAGTTCTCCTTAGGGTAACGGGAGGACACAAACTAGCGTCCTCCCATCACCCTAGGCTCAGTATATAGGGAGCTGCTGCTCGCGGTATACTGAGACGCCGCAGCCGGGGACGGGTCCCGACGTAGATGCCGGGATCCGCCCAGCTGCGTGAGTGACAGCTGGCTCTGCCTATCTAGAGGCAGAGCCAGCTGTACCCGCCCCCTCCCCCGTCCGTTCCGCCAGTCAGCGCTGGCGGATCGGAGCGGGGAGGGGGGAATCCAGCCCCTCCCCTGTCACGGCAGAGGGCTGTGACAGGATCGAGAGGTGAGCGAACGCCGGTATGTGTTCGCTCACCTCCCGATCTACTGAGCCGACCTGTGACAGTCTCATTGTCACAGGTCGGCTAGAACTATGAGGTGAGTGAAAATCACTTATCTCATAGTTCTCCTTTTAAAGTACCTTACAACAATCGCAAGACAAAAGTCGTGCGATGGTTGTAAGGTGTGTGCCCAGCTGCCTGAGGTCCTGCATAGGTGTTGTCATTCCTCTCTGCCTCCTTTTCTAGTTTCAGCCTCTCTCAGCCGGTGTGCAGGGGGTGACGGGACAGAATGAATACCGGCGGCTGCTCCCAGCTTAGATACGTGTTGCAAGGTTTCCCGTCCCCTTATATAAGAAATAAACGTCTTTGTCTTTTACTGCCTGGAGGTCATACAGCAAGAGCCGGACTGCAGAGGGTTAATCATGGCGTTCCCTTTGAAGCCGGCTGCCGTCTACTGGTCTGTGTGATGTAATAAGTATGTGAAATGCATTTTAGGCAGATGTCTCCCCCAGACTCCCCCCACCCCCGCCCGGACCCGTCCTTCTCTCTGTAATTAACCCTTTTGCGGGCTCAGTCCTGACGATTTTCTCTCTCTCTCTTCAGTTGCAGGGATTGTCACAGCCGACTTCGCCTCGGGTTTAGTGCACTGGGGAGCGGACACGTGGGGCTCCGTAGAGCTGCCCATTGTCGGGAGGGTAAGTCGGAAAGTAACTGACCGGAAAATGTCATTTAATAAAACTCGATCAGATCTGACCGTTGGCTGCGTGCCGCTTAGCTGGAGGAGTGGGTCTGCATGGTGCTGGCCTACTGATACTGGATCCAATGGGCTCTACTACCCAGTCAGGTCTCAGCTTCTGATTGGAGGAAATGTCTCCTTGTTGGGGGTGTCACTGCTTAAAAATAGGGATGCACCGATACTAGTATCTGTGCCGACAGCAAGTGTTTGGGCGCGTACTTGGTCGAGGAACGTCCGGTATCGGTAAGCCGGGCGCGCGAGTCATTATCCCCCCAGCTAACCTGATTGGCCAGAAAGCCAACTCTATGCTTCCTCATCATTCCTCTTCATTCCCTGGTGATGAGGGAGCATGGAGTCGGCTTCCCGGCTAATCAGGAAGCTGGGTGGCAAGTCATTAAAGGAGAACTATGAGGCGAGTGCTTTTCACTCATCCTCATAGTTCTAGCCGACCTGTGACAATGAGACTGTCACAGGTCGGCTCAGTAGATCGGGAGGTGAGCGAACATATACCGGCGTTCGCTCGCTTCTCGATCCTGTCATGGCTCTCTGCCGTGACAGGGGAGGGGCTGGATTCCCCGCTCCGATCCTCCAGCGCTGACTGGCGGAACGGACGGGGAAGGGGGCGGGTACAGGTGGCTCTGCCTCTAGATAGGCAGAGCCAGCTGTCACTCACGCGCAGCTGGGCGGAACTCGACATCGATGCCGGGATCCGCTCCGGCGTCTCAGTATACTGCGAGCTGTAGCTCCCTATATACTGAGCTTAGGGTAACGGGAGGACGCTAGTTTGTATCCTCCCGTCACCCTAAGGAGAACTATGGGGAAAAGCCCTAACCCCATAGTTCTCTTTTAAACGCCCCCAGGCTTCCCTAATGGGACTTTCGGTATCACCGAGTACTGAAAAAAATAATCTGTACTTGTACTCGATACCGAAAAACTGGTATTTGTGCATCCCTACTTAACAGTGAACTATACCCAAATCTTTTTTGTCTTTAGTTCTCTTTTGGGGCAAAGTCCTCTTGTCCCAAAGTCAACATATGGCGGGCTACTGCTCACTAAATGCTGACAGCGCAGAGCCGCATTGCAGCCGCAAAAGATCCCAACATTATTGTAGGGATCCACCCCACTCCGTGATTGCCTCTCTAGAGCCAGATGTTCCCGCCCCTTCCCCTGTGTGTCCCTCCCTTTTGGGGGGGAATGAACTCTGGTTGGTTGCTTTGTAAGGTATGTAACTGTATTTTTATTGTATTTTTTGTCAAGAAGTAAAAACTATTAATAAAAAGGATTTTAAAAAAATGAGCACTGGAGGAACAGATAGAGGGGAGGGGGGAATCCCTGCCATGAGCTGAGTGATCAGTGGCTTGTGATCGCTCGGTTCTCGATCTATGGAGCCGTCATGTGACAGATGCAGTGCCACACGCCAGCTAAAAACTATTGGGAAACGTATATTTTACTCTCCCAAAACTTCTCCTTTACCTTGACCTTTTGTTCCAGGCTTGGCAAATCAGCCCAGGCATGCCGGGCTGACTGCCAAGTGGGAACTTTTTCCTACTTTTTAGTTTTGGAAACTGCAGGGAAGGGTTAGTTCCCTCCGTTGCACCTTTTCTGCTATTCAGGGCCCCTGTTGGAACGATTTCCCTTCATTTCCTGTCCGGCAGACAATGTTTCATTAGACAGGAAGTCAGGGAAATGCTGCAACAGCAACAAAGAAATAAAGTATTTCTAGTACGGTAGGGGAGCTCCGGGTCTGCTGTCAGATTTATATATCTGTTTACTTGTTGAAGATTTTCTCTCCTTCCTGTCTGGTGAAACCGTTGTCAGCAGGACAGGAAGTGAGGGTAAATCTATTTAACGGAGCCCTGGGTAGCAGTAAAAAAAACAGACCGGAGGTCTAATCCTTCCCCACTCAATCTGGCTTGATGTTCTTAATTTCTATTGATCATTTTCTGTGACCTCTGGGACTGATGGGTGGTAAGAAGCCGGGCGGCGAGTCATTATTCCCCCCCCTTCCCAGCTTCCTGATTGGCCAGAAAGCCGGTCACACCCATCGCTCAGTGCTGTACGTTAAATAAAGAAAGCAAATTTCAAACATCGCAATATAAACAAGTCCTGAAAGATGACATACGAGACGTCAGTCCTTCCCACACCAGTTTACAGTCCCCTTGTGTAGTGTTATAATGTAGTAAAACTTTCCAACTGTATCGGTCTAGTTAACTATAAACCCATTTATCACCTTGTACAGTTATAGGGCCCGTAATGTACACGTTAGATCCTGTACAGAGGACGAGTGACTCATCTGTAAATACACTGCAGCTACGTGATAAAGAGCGCTGACAGTATGAAAATGTCCGGTTCAGACGCAGCCCATACTGCCCTCTGTATAAGAGGGTTATAAACCTAAAATCCAGATTATCTTTATATAAAGATGGCCGAGCGGTTCTCCGAGATTGAGGGAAGCGTTTCCAGATTGACGCATTACATCGGATATTTCATACTGTGCTTGTAGTCGCTGTGACACAATGTTCAGTTGGTCTGTTATCGGCCATTATAAGCTATCAGAGGCTCCCCAGGGACGTCCTCCAATGTGATTACTGGACAGGAAGTCATTTGTCTGTATAAAATGTCTCCCTCCTAAATGGAACTCTATTCAATTTGAAAGAAAACAATGTCATTATTTCCATGTTAACTAGTTGTAATCCAACTTTCCTCCATCCGTTAATTCTCATTGTTTGTTTGTGTTCCAGGCCTTCATCAGACCCTTCCGGGAACACCATATCGACCCCACCGCCATCACCCGGCATGACTTTATAGAGACCAACGGAGATAACTGCATGCTGACCATCATCCCCTTGTCTTGTATGGCCTATAAATTCATCAACCACTCTCCAGGTAATGAGTGGGGGGATAGAATCCCTCGTGTCGTTTCGGGGAATGTACTTTCTGCTATGTTGTTGAGGCAGATTTAGGAAATTAAAGGTGTTATCTTTCCAGTCTTAGAGCTTAAAGTCACATTAAACCCTCAGATTTTTTTAACATAAACCAATACTGTAATGTGCGCCTTCTTGTAATGAGAGTTGCCTAAATTAACCGACGAAGGACCCTATTTAGCCAAGGCGTTTTGACCGAGAAAATGGCCCATAGCTAATTCTTCCGGTGCCGGGGTCGGAATGGTTTTGGCAGACGGCCTCATCCAGGACACCCTTCCAGTTCTTTCCTTGTAACATCATTGGTAACGGTGACCTTATGCTCGTCATTGTGACACTATTACCAGCGATTATACAAAGTTACATCGTGGGAGAGACAGACTGTTCGCCTTCTCTGCCACTACCTGGAGTCCATACTGGTGACGCCATGATGACGATGTTATCTGGTTTCCATAGTAACAGCCTCCTGGATGCTATATACTGCTGATCAGATAATTGGAAATCAAGCAGAGCTCTGCCCTGTACAAAACCCCAGTAACCATTTGCAGCAAGACTTCTCTGCCCAGGCCGTGCCTCTTGCCTGACGTGACTTGGCATGATCTGTGTGCGGCCACGGCTTCTCTACAGGAGTGTGACGTGTAAGATATCACACGCTGCTCGGGAAATCTCGGCAGAACAGCAACCTAGAATTGTTGTTTGATGATGGCTGTGCAGGATCTGTTATCCAGATGCTCCTACACCCGGACATTATTTGGGAGGGTTGCACATCTTGGAGAGATGCGTGGAATGCTGTGAATGGCTGTCACGTTGGGTTAATAAACCATGATTATATGTTCCAGAATTGTATATGCTAATTACAGATAATTAAATACCTGCTCCACCCGCTCCCGGGCGATCTACTACCGTGACCCAGTTTTTGTTCCCCAGCTGAGGAAATTCCTCTTCCAGTGAAAGGGCCAGTACAGGATGTGAGGGGGAAATCTCCAATAGGGACACAAACAGCAATGAACAGCAAACTGCAGTTTTTGATTTTCTGTATTGTGTCCCCGTTAGAGATCTTCCTTCACTTCCTGTTGGGTGACAATGTTGCCACCAGAACTGGAATTGAGGAAAATCTCCTTTTAAGAAGCCTCAGACAGTAATAATATCAGTAGTAAAACATGGGTCAAACCTTTCCTCCGTACCCAAAACGTTCTCCCTTCTGAAGACTAGTAACTCCATTTATAGGAGGCTGCGAGTGTTGGTTGCTATGGGATACTGCACCTTATTGCTGCTTGGAAGAGAGAATATGACTCGAGATATTTGCATTTATTTTTTCACAGATCTCCTCTACAAGTCCTACGCCACCGACTGCTTCATATTCGCCTTGGCCATGTTCGTCACACTGACCAACCAGATTCACAAGTGGTCTCACACCTACTTTGGTCTTCCTTGCTGGGTGGTCTTCCTCCAAGACTGGCACGTCATCTTACCCCGCAAACATCACCGCATCCACCACGTGTCTCCGCACGAAACTTATTTCTGTATAACGACAGGTGAGCGATCGCCGCACAAAGTCCGAAAGATGATGCTCAATGTACTTCTGAAATGGGAAGCAGAATTACAGAACTGTCACATGTCATTGGTTTCAGTTACTGTGGTCTGCAGCCTCCTGGCATTGTGCTGACGTGGTTCTCAGCAGTAGAAGGTGGTACTGGGAGATTAGCTGCTCGTTCAGCGCAATGCAGATTGACCCTATTCTAATGGCTGGGAGACTCCCATCCCCCCCCCCACAAACACACGCGCACACACACACACAGACCAGGGTTAACATAATACTGGCAGGCAGGCTGCAGGCCATGCTGATGCGTTCCCTCCTACTGCAGCTTACTACCATTGAGCCCCAGTAGGGTGCCGAGATCCTTAGACATCTTAGATCGAGTAGAGGAACTGGTGGGGTATCACTGACACTTATTTAATATAGTGTTTTACATTTTTGGTTGTAAATAGCCTCTGACCTTACATATCTACATCTGCAATCGAAGGGGACATTGGTGGCTGGAATGAACAGCCTTAAAGGAGAACTATGAGGGTGGGGGGGGGGGAGATCCCGGCACAATTGTCGGGATCCGCTTCAGCTGCTGCGTCTCAGTATACCGCGAGCAGCAGGTATACTGAGCTTAGGGTGACGGGAGGACGCTAGTTTGTGTCCTCCCGTTACCCTAAGGAGAACTATGGGGAAAAACACTGACCCCATAGTTCTCCTTTTAAGGGAGCCTCTGAATCAGTGATACAGATCTTCAATCAACGTGTTTTTCATTCTTGGTGTTGGATGAAAGGGCTGGAACCTCTCATTGTTGCTGATTGAGAGGGAGATTTCTTATCATTTTCTGTCATGGTGACCATGGCACAGGAAGTGGGGGGGCATCTCTTAGTAGCAGATGGTAAAGAGAAACGTCACCAGCACACCAACTTCCTTCAAGGATAATCAACCGTGGATTTATTAAAACTCATGTGAAAAAACGCAAGCTCTTTTCGGGGGCCATGCCTGATGAAGGGACCCTGCGTGGACCCAAAAGCGCTCGTGTTTTTTGACATGAGTTTTAATAAATCCATGGTTGATTATCCTTGAAGGAAGTTGGTGTGCTGGTGACGTTTCTCTTTACCATGTGCTACTTGCGGCGCCATAGCAGTTAAAACCTTTTACCTCTGTTGGTAGATTTTCCTTCACTTCCTGTGCCGGTGACAGTGGTTGCCAAAGCAAGGGCAGTGCATCAGTCTGGGCTTTCTGATGACTGGTATGGGCAAAGCATCAGTCTGGGCTTTCTGATGACTGGTATGGGCAAGAGCACCAGTCTGAGCTTTCTGATGACAGGCAAGGGCAGTGCATCAGTCTGGGCTTTCTGATGACTGGTATGGGCAAAGCATCAGTCTGGGCTTTCTGATGACTGGTATGGGCAAGAGCACCAGTCTGAGCTTTCTGATGACAGGCAAGGGCAGTGCATCGGTCTGGGCTTTCTGATGACTGGTATGGGCAAAGCATCAGTCTGGGCTTTCTAATGACAGGCAAGGGCAGTGCATCAGTCTGGACTTTCTGATGACAGGCATGGGCAAAGCATCAGTCTGGGCTTTCTGATGACAGGCATGGGCAAGAGCATCAGTCTGGGATTTCTGATGACAGGCATGGGCAGTGCATCATTCTGGGCTTTCTGATGTTGTCCCTCACTACATAGTTGACGATTGTACGTCAGATCACCACATGCTTGAGCAGCAATAAACTAAGAGCATTCAATGTTTGTCTCTCCCGTTTAGGTTGGCTGAACTACCCACTAGAAAAGCTCGGATTCTGGCGACGGTTCGAAGACCTCATCCACGGCGTCACGGGGGAGAAACCGCGGTCAGACGACTTGAAGTGGGCTCAGAAGGTCAAATAACGTCCGGCCAGCTCCCGCCACTCTTCAACCAGTTGCCAACCTTTTAAAAAAAAAAGTGAAAACTAAAGCCATTAGCCAAATATGTCAAAGACTCACCTGGAAGTAACTGACTAACGAGCACAAGCCAACCTTGTGCTGTAATCCTCCGTAAGACTCTAATCCACAGACTCACACTCTGCGACACTAAGGACCGGGCCCAAAGCCTTCAGGCCCGCCTGATTCCTGAAGCAGCTGACACCATACATTTTATTTTTTTTTCAGTTTTTCTTTTATCAAGTTTTGCTGATGTCCCAGATGACCTTTCACCTTGCTGAGCTCGGTGTGTGACCATCACACGAGCCAGAGAAGAGATTGTACACAGTCTTGCACTATGGAAATGCATCAGTGATAAACATTTGTTGTATCAACATTGAGTCTGCTGCCTGTGGAGACCTCTAATACAGATATGAAGGAGGAGGAGGAGAAGAACAGTGCTTTTTTTTTTGTTTTCTTTCTTTCTTTTTTGCAGTCATTGTATTATTGTTTAGAATGTTTTTTGACTTTTACCGTTTTTCGATTCGTGAGAGGCCTAAAGTGCATGTTTGATCCTGCAGGCATCCAGGTCCTGGGATAGACCACATTTTTCTATCGCCGACTCCAGTTCCTTTCTGTCTCCATCATCCTTAAGGCACTGACTGACGCTTAACCCCCCCTCTCCCTGAGACGCTGAAAGATAAATATATTTTTAAATACCTCTGTATTGACCGCAGTGAAGGGAGGAAGCTCCTTCCATTTTCTTTTTTTTCTTTTCCGGGTTTTCTTTTTTTTTTTTTTCTTTTCCGGGTTTTCTTTTTTTTTTCTCTTTCTCTAGAAACGGACAACAAATTTAATAAAAACCTCGCACTTGATAAGTAGCACCCAGTACTGTAAGTCAATCCATATCTAGGCCTAAAGGAGATGGTTAGCGGCAGTTTTTTTCGTCAGGGTTCATGACGTAGGTAAGTGCATTAGGTAAGGTGTTAGTGTATGTGGAGTCGTTTGTTTGGGCTGATTGTTTGTAAATAAGAAGCATGGAGCTTACATTTGTGCGGTGCTTCTGTGGTAGTAAGTGACGGCGACTGAGGGCGAAATGCGTCGCGTGTTTTCAGGATGGCAGTGCTAATATTGGCCCTAGAATGTGAAGAAATAGTAATCATGGGGATGGTATGGGGGGTTAGTGACCAGCAGAACTCGGCTCATTTATATCTATGGGTGAGCTGAGAAATTAAAGCACTTATTTAATATATTCAATATTTTTGAAACTTTAAAAGCCGGCTTTACTGCATACTGTCCCGCTGCCTGCGTTGCCTGACTCTTCTAGGCTGAAAAATGTTCTGCATGTGACACTCACCGGGGTGTCAGATGGAGGGTACCCCCCCCCCTCCACTGCGTTGTGCGGTTTCCTCCTCCAGCCCCTATGTCACTACAGGGGCCAGCGGACGGAACCACAGCACACAGTAGGGGACAAGACAGCCGACATGCTGGAATGTTCACGATCTTTCGGCAAGTTGAAGAGCTGGGTGGTACCAGCGGGAAGGACTTTGCAGTACAGCTTTTGTGGTTTCAGAAATGGCGACACATTCTATGGGGCTTGTGATGATGGCCTCAGTGTGAGACGCCTCTGAGATCATTCAGAATGTTTTGATCTGCAGTTGATCCCATTTTGACCTGTTTTAACCAGGTTTAGCATTCCTATAGACCTGTATGGGTGTATGCAAAACCCCCTGCGTACTGACATAGGTCCATAGTCTATTGCTGGGGAATTAGGTCTCTAGCACTTCGCTTTCTACATTCCACTAGAGAGCCGAGGGATGAAATCTGTAGCACTTAGTTCACCAACTTCCAGGGGAGAGCTGAGGCACTAAATGTGTAGCACTTAAATCACTAACTTCCAGGGGAGAGCCAAGGAATTAGGTCTGTAGTGCTCACCTTGCTAACTTTTACTCTGAGAGCTGCTGAGGTATTGGGTCTGTAGCACTCTGCTCCCTAACTTCTACCAGGAGAGCCGAGGAGTTAGGTCTGTAGTGCTCAGCTCGCTATCTTCTACCAGGAGAGCCGGGGAGTTAGGTCTGTAGAGCTCAGCTCGCTACCTTCTACCAGGAGAGCCGAGGAGTTAGGTCTGTAGAGCTCAGCTCGCTATCTTCTACCAGGAGAGCCGAGGAGTTAGGTCTGTAGAGCTCAGCTCGCTATCTTCTACCAGGAGAGCTGAGGATTTAGGTCTGTAGGGCTCAGCTCCCTAACCTTTACCAGGGGAGCCGGGGAGTTAGGTCTGTAGAGCTCAGCTCGCTATCTTCTACCAGGAGAGCTGAGGATTTAGGTCTGTAGGGCTCAGCTCCCTAACCTTTACCAGGGGAGCCGGGGAGTTAGGTCTGTAGGGCTCAGCTCCCTAACTTCTACCAGGAGAACCGAGGAGTTAGGTCTGTAGCACCCAGCTCGCTAACTTTTACCAGGGGAGCCGAGGAGTTAGGTCTGTAGCACTCGGTTCCCTAACTTTTACCAGGGGAGCCGAGGAGTTAGGTTTTTTAGCACTTGGCTTGCTAACTTCTACCAGGAGAGCCAAAGGATTAGGTCTGTAGTGCTCAGCTCACTAACATCTACCGTGAAAGCTGAGGGCTGCACGGGAGCTGCTAATACAGACTGTTAGGACAGGTGCTGCCAGAAATAGCTATTCACTTCCATCACTATCTCTGTCAGCACTTCCCCACTTAGTGTGTTTTCGGAAGAGCTGTTTTCAGAGAGAGAGAGTGGCTCAGACATCACACAGCCCTGGACTTTCTGTGCCAAGTTAATGAGCAAAGGCATTTTAATCACACAATAGCTTGCTGGCGCCATCGTTGGAAAGTTCAGGCCGCCTAATAGTGACTTTAACAAATATTAATGTGAAAGCTGACAAACCTGTAAAGATTGATGCATCAGACATTGTAGGTTTGCGGTGCAGCCAGGTCCACCATAGTATCGGAGGTGGAACCCCCCCCCCCCCCCGAGGTCTGACAATTACAGCACGGTCAGATGTAACGCACTGTCTTCCATTTCCTAAGTCACTATAACAGAACACAGAGCTCTCATACACCAGCTGTTGATTTCCAGGGCGGATTGGAATAGGC